TACATCTGCACTAGAATAGGTGCTTTTTTTATTCTCTCTGTATTCACTTTCTGCATCTTCTTTCACATCTTGCTGTTAGGGCAGCTCATTCTTCTGGGCTTCTGATATGGAAGATCAAAAAGCTGTGGATCCTTAAACATATCCCAGCAATTTCTGTTCTAAAGCTGATAATTGTTATTTATAGGATAAAATTTTGCTCCTTGCTAAACTGGATACAGAAAGTGTCATGCCTACAGAAGCATCATGCATATAAGTTTTGCAGTTCTACAACCACAAAAAAAGAGGTTGGAAGGGACCTCTGAAGGTCAGCTAGGTTAACCTCTAAACTGAGCAAAGTTAGATTGGGTTTCTCACAGCCTTGCTCACCTCAGGTTTGAAAATCCCCAAAGATGGAGATCCCAGAACTTCTCTGAGAAAACTGTTCTAGTGCTTCATCACTCTCATTTTGATTTTTCCACCTTGTATCCAGTTGGAGTTTCCTTTGTTGCAACTGGTATCTGTTTCTTCTTGTCCTTTTGCTGTACACAGCAAGATTAATCTGCCTCTGTCTTTATGATCCAAATTTAGAGGATCAATTAACCAATTTTCCTGGACAACCATTGTTACTATAACTTGGATGAAGAAACCATGTTTATCCACAGATTATGTGCAAATTCTCCCAAACTGCATAGTAGTATTTGTCCTTTGGGTGAACATTTGCAAAGCTTCCAAGTACTCTGGATGCCTGCATTTTTTTCTTTCTAACTTTATTCCTTTTAAGAGCTTGAATTTCAGAAAGTCTTTCCTTCCTTTCCCTTTGAAAACAAAGCTTTTTACAGAAGAGTCTTCTTCGTGAAATGATGTGATACAGATGGTGGCAGAAACATGATCATTGATCAAGGTGAGCTCCTGCTCAGCAAAGGCACACTAATAAATTTCCCAGAATCTTGTGGATGAATTAGAAGCTACTGAAGAAGTTTCACAGAACCCTTGAGTTAAGACATTTTATTTTATGAAAGGCATTGAAAATGTCTGAAGTTTGGCCGACAAAACTAGAAGTACCTGTGATCAGCAGTCATACTTGAAAATCTTGGCCTCAGGCTTTGTTTATTGGACAGTCTTGTACCAAATAACATGTAAGCAATAACAAATGAAGCAATTTTCAAGAATTCATAGCAACTTCAACAAATAAAGAGCTTTACCTTTTAGGTCGAAACCCAACCTTAAATCTCTTTCCATAACCTTTTTTTTTTTTTTTTTAATTCTTTCTCAGTTGAGTCTGTCAGTTCCTCAAAGATTTTCCTAAAACTTTAGGCATCTACCTGCTGACTCCAAACTTCTTCAAGATCTGACCATAACCTACTGCTAAGTTACAGGCAAGATACATTTAGGTGACCTCTTCTTGATTTTGACCTGAGCTTTGACAGAGCTTAGTTTTAATGTAACAAGGAGTACCAACATCTAACTAGCTATTGGCCCATCCAACCTCAGCCCTGTTAAATCCCAGCTACTATGAACAGATAAAACAATGATTTATTAATGGAGATAGGGTGGAACTTATGTGAGGGCAGGTTCCTTCCTAGCTTAAAAATACTAGGTTGCTAGTCTGTTACTGTAAGAGATCATTCAGTTTTGGGAGCGAGTTGGACTGAGAGATTAATGAGTTTACTTTTTCCCTGTTTTAATTGTGCCAGAGTTTATAGCAGGGGAGCTAACTATGGCATAGCTGGGATGCGAACTTAGACATGCAGGACATTTTAATGCACACAGGAGGAGACTGTGATTGCCCTATGTACAGCTAGCCAAAATCCTAATCAACTAGTCAGCAACAACAACCTGCCGGAATCCAGGAAGCCTGTCAACCTCACACTTGCAGTCCCCAGGCTATCTAGGGATAATGAAATGGGCTGGTCCAAGAAAGCTAATCTCTTCTGCTTTCCCAAAGGTGCCTGCTCCCTAATGAAAGCAGAAGCACTCATGTAGGTATGGCTCAGAAAGGAAGGGAAAGGATGGGAAGTTAAGGCAAGACAAGGCAAGGAAGGGCAATAAGGGAGAATATTCAAAATCAATCATACATCTCAGACTTACTAATTTTGTGTAGGTAAAAATATCTTATTTCCAGATTTGTCCTTAAATAACCATCTTTACCTTAAAAAAAACAACCTTTTTTTTTCCTTCACAATACCACTTAAAGATATGCTAAGCCAGAACCATTTCTTTCTCCAAATGCCTGTTTAAATGTTTAAGTGCTTGTTAAAAAATGCATTAGGACACCAAAGTTTCTAAACGTGTTTCAGCAAATGAAGGAGATCTGAGAAGAAAACAACTGGATTACCCCTGCATTTTGTAGTTAGGGGAATAATATGTTCTGTTCCTTCAAAGTGTCCACTTTACACTATTCAGCACAAAGCTTTGTGAAATAAGAATCATGGGAATATCATAATATAAAGGAAAAAGGTACAAATAACAGCTTCATAAACTGAGAAATGTACATAAATAAATCATGTAGATGGGGGCAGTTTGCTTAGCTGGCAAGAAAAAAAAATATGGAAAATCTGCTTGTTAAACAATAACCACAGAGTGTGCTTTTATGATGTTTTTCACCACAGTAATTCATATTAGAGATAGAAGCAGTTGCATGTTAAATAAAATCATTCAGCATTGTTCTCCTCACATTACAAAGAGCTGACTTATGTTGTTTTTAGATGCCTCCCATTAGAAAGTAAATATTCCTCTGATGTTATACATTTCAGAAAATTTAATAAAGATGAACTGTAAATAAAGTCACAGGGAGATTTCAGACAGTTTTATTAGCAGATTGTTGAAAAGAAAAGAAAATTAAATACAATAACAGTAAACGTGGTTCTCACATTGAAACCAGGCTCAAATAACTAGGCTACCATAGAAAAATTTCCAATTCTTGCATTATGATGTAAAAACAGATTTTTGTACAGATTTTGTACAACAAAATTCGTAATAACCTTTTTTCATTTTTAGAAAACTTTAAATATATAGATAAAAATAGACAATTTTCATAGGTCCTACATGAAGATGAGTATGTTCTGTTCCAAGGGCTTGCATAGAGCGCAAATGTGGTTATAATATAGAACAACTAGACATTAATATCTTTAAGATTACAAAAGCTTATAAACAATAACATGAGCACAACTTTTCTTCATAATCTATGCAAAAAAAAAATCCAAATCAAAAACAAAAACAAAAATACCAAACCAAAACCTGTATAACTAAAGAGGGGCAAAAAATTCAACTTACGGTAACATCTTATGGTCTGTAATATTTACACTGTTTTTAGCAAGATTCTTTCTAAACATCCAGCTTATAAATTGGTTCCCCCTTAATCCTTAACATTTCCATTTATGTACCAAGCCAAACACTGAGGCATTCCCAAAGGTCTTGAAAGTATATACTGTAAAACTACTAAACCTACTTACAGGTGACTCTATGCAAGGAGCAGAGCAATGGTAGATGCTACTACATATTTCAGTTGTAGGCTTTTAATTCTCTTTCGGGTATGAATGATTCAAAAGCTTGCCACAAGTCCATCTAACTTTACAGCTGTTAACCCTTTAAAGACTGCATATGAAAAAACTGGAGTATAGAATCCCATATGTGTTCAAGCAACTAGGAAAATTATGAAAGAATAGTGGTTAGAAAATAATGTCACTACAAAGTATTAGGTAACAATATTTAATGAAAAATATTGCTCAATATTTCTTTAAAAAAAATTACTGTGATGTGAACTTGTATATACATCTTTCTATTGTTAAAAAAGGATTGTGGTGGAGTAAATATGAACTGCAAAAAATAAATGTGTACCAGTATTGCAAGGAAGACCTACAAACTATAGAAGCTCAGTGCTAGAGTTTACAAAACATTAGATTTTTTTTTGACAAAATAATATTAATATCCAATCAGAACTATTTTTAAAGAAATATTTGCTTTAAGTTAGGCATCTTAAACATTTAAGGTTTCGATATGTTTCCATGTAATAAATAATATTTTATATGCATAAAACATTAGATGAAGAAACCATAATCACAAAACTTACAGTAATAGCACTGATTCACAAAATCAGTCTTTAAAGGGGTAACCCAAAAGTACACAAAGCAAAGAACGTAATTTTAGTAATGTAATAAGCACTGTGTTGCAGCTTACTTCCAGTTATCAGCACAAAGGTGAAAACACATATTGTAGCTTTCTTAAAGACAGTGAAAGTAACACATAACCACCCATCCTTAAGACAAGGTGGGAGGGACAATAGACTTCAACTGTATCACTCAGTTCTACGTGGAATTGGACTGATACATCAAGTGTTTGTTAGGTTTTCTTTTTTTAGCAACATTGACGTAATATGACATTAACATATAAAAATATTTCTGGCATTTTGAATTGCTGCTCAGCCACAGTCCATTCTTAAAAGTGCACTAATCGGGGCACTAACCAGGGCTCAATATACAAATAAAAGTGGCTGATACAGAATTCTGACTTGTTACCAGATGCTTAAGATCTCATTCAGTAATACTGTGACTCCAGGACAAATATTTACATGCCTGCATGCGTTAAAACTAGAAAGGTGTCTTTCTGACCAACAGGGTGACAAAACAATATTATCTAAAATTTTCATTTCCTAAACTCTAGATTTCTACTGCATACATAATACCTTCCGTGTGTGATTTGTGTTATATACTGTACATGTGACCAACAGTTTGATAAGAAGCAAAGTCTTTTATTTCATAAACCCCTGCCAGTTTACAATGAGAAATTATTACTCTTTTTATTGTATTTTTTTATTTTAGGAAAAGAGACTTTGTGAACAGTAAAACAGTTTGTTTACATTCAGCATTTCTTTTCACTTACACAAAATTCCATTTCACTTAATGTACTCTAACATACATGTGTTGGTCTCTTGGAAAGCATGTGGAAAAAATGTCTTTAGAAGAAAACCCACAATCATAGTTTGAAAACTGAATGTATCAATTTTTTTATTATTTTACCTTTTTTTTTTTCCTCTTTTTTATTTTAATAAGAATCCTCTTATGCCCTCTACAAGTTCATTTCTGAGCTGTCTTGCTGGTTTCGGTATGATATAACAGTCTGTAAGTGTACTTGGACACTGCTGGAAGGATCATTTGATGTGCTCAAATATAGAATCATCAGAGGAGGACAGAGTCTGCATTCCTTGAAAAAGGGAACACTCAGCCTTGTTCTGACCTGCCTGTAATTTTGGATACAATAGTCCGGTGCAGAGATGCAGATTTTCACTGTAAGAAGAGTGCTACTGTACATTTACAAACATTCTCTAGGTCTCTGGGTCGAGCCATGGGAGATAACCAAAGGAGGACACTCTTGCAGAATTCTTTACATTTTTGAAGCACATTGATACATGAAGTTGAGGAAGTTGCCTTGAAAACACTTTGTTTCCACAGAACTCCTTATGAGCCAATGTCTTACTGCAAAGTTCTTTACCGTAGCACAGGTATCTTCAAAATTCAATACATGACAGTAGTTTTCAAATAAAGTCTTCCATCTAAAATAAAAAAAAAAAAAAAGCTTTATATATGTATATCTGCAACGACTTGAAAAGAGGAAAAAATCCACAAGATTTGAAACCTCAGCAGTAGTAGTCCTCCCATAAATCTGTACAAAGCCACGTATGGTACTTTATGTTTAAAATAAAAAAATAATAAAACCTGAGTATCACCATTGCAATTTCTTCTGACAGTGGTCAAATTAACTCTGTCAAAAATTACATGCATTTTGCAAGTTGTGAATACTGTAACACCTTCTAAAGCTTTAATATATGCTGCACTCCTATCAGTACTAGGGCACTAGGAGAGTAGGTGGAGTCTCTGTGCATGTGTTTTTACTGATATGCAAACTTAACTGAAGAGTGCTGAACAGCAATTATTTCCTTCATGGTTGCAGAGCAAAAATCTTCTTGCATGCAATCGTTAGTACTCCCACCACTAAAGGCATAGCTCATACTTTCTGATTTAGCTATGTTGTTAAATATACCATGTAATGTAACCATTGTGCACATTTGTAGCTATTTATATAGAAGCCAGTATAGGATATTTAATCGGTATCAGTGAAGTATAGCTACCTTCCTCCATAAATGAGATTAACTGAACAATTACTATGTTAAAGATGTAAGCACGTCTCTCTCAACATTTTTTCCAGCCAAGTGAGGAGCATATATTTGAGATATGTGTGATGGAGAGGGAAAAAGAGAAACAATAAGCTCACCTAGCCAGTAACTGTTGATCTAGAGAAACCTGAAAAGAACATTCTGCCATAAAATATTTTTACCTAATTTATAAAGTAATTTTCTTCACTGGGGACTTGAACATCTTATGCGCATCTATTTTCATAGCAATGCAAAGATTTCTTTTCTTTTAAAAACAGGAAACAGACACAAACTTCTTAGTTTTCTGTTCTGTAGGATAGAAAGCATCACTCCCTTGTGAGTGAAGCACATTATGAAGCATATTAATCCTCCACAGTGCATAATTACAAAACACTACTTATATTTTAGAATATAATGCATCTGGAAGTACAAACTGTATCTCAGTTCTTGAAGTCTGCATGAAACCCTTCTTTTGGCCCAAACGAAATCATCAAACTTTTACAAGATTTCAGAGGGTTTTGTTTTTGTTTTGGTTTTCTTAGTCTAACCTTTTTATTCTAAATCAGTCTTTAAAATTCTTATTAGATATACAGGAAATTTTTGAAATGCTTGACTATCATTGAAACGTGCAGCATCACTTCCACAAGTTTACTGCAACTTTTGAGAGAAAGAAATCTTTAACTTGAAAGCAGACAAAAAAAATTATCCCTTCTGCACACTCCTTTCAGATTTTTATTGTCTAATTTCTATCAGAACTGCTGGGGAAAAGAGGTGATAGAATTGCTCACTCTGCTGCAGTGATTCTTATCTAGTGTCCTCTGGTTTTGCTTTTCCACCACTAGCTTTCTTTTGCAAGCTTCTGGGGTGTACCCCTTTTTGCTACTTTCTCCCCTGTCTTTACATTTTCCTGCCCCTTTTCCCTACTTTTTTACGTTCCTAGCTTTTTTGTCAGGGTAGATGATAACTTTCCCACCACTTAGAGTGCTTCTACTCAGAACCCTTTGCACATTCTCTTTGCTCTTTACGGTCTTTGTGCACTGAAAAGAGATTGAGTAAGGCCTTAACTTAAAGACTTTTTCTTCTTCTTTTGATGCATGATGAGCAACCAAAACACTTAGGAGAATTCAGAAGAGAAAGAAGGAAACTCTGAAATGGAGCTTGGTAAGACTGAAAGCCTAGAAAACCATCTCAAAAGAAAAACTGCATCAAGTACAGGATAGCCAGAGCTACTATTGGCTGTAGTTGCATATAATTCTCCCAAACCTATTGAATAAACACAATAGACATTTACAGCACTAAAGCTGTCCAGATACCTCTGTAGGAGAATTACTCTGCATATATACTAGCACTTTGGTTATCCTGAATGCACACTTGCTAATGAGTGCTATGCATAATTCCCACACCTAAACATTAAGAAAACCTACAGTCAGTAACTTGTACTTTATTTTACTATATTAGGTCTCCATATACCTTTTAAAATAAAATATTTATTAAAACATATTCTCAATTAAAAATAAAGCTGTAGGAAGCGGAATCCTTGTAGCAGCCAACAAAAGATGAACAATCTGCAGAGAACAGCAGTGCATTTTCAAAAGTCAGCTCTATTTTACACTGCTTAAGGACCCAAGCTGGCAGTGAAGTCAATAGGAGGTTTTTCATTTTTAATGGAAGACACTATCAGGTCCTATATTCTCTGTATTCTGTATCCATAGACAAAACAATAACAGAAATGGGCAGCTGTATAAAGCATCTTCCTTACAAAGCAAGAGGATATTTGTTTATGTAACTTACCAAGACATAGGTTGGATATATACAATAAGCATAAATCTTCCTGTTTCTCAAAAAAACTACATGATAAACCATTAAAAGTGCAATTAAATCATCTGTATTGATAATGGACTTAAAATGCCATATAGGAACTCAGCAGCTAATCTAATAATATTGCAAGGCTTATTATAACACAGATATGTTCTCTATTAATGTGTTTGATTAACACCTTTAACATATGGAAAAACTGATCAAGCATTAGACACATCAACTTTAAAATAAATCCTGCCATGTTATCAAGTAGATACAGCAGTCCCATGATTAAGTAATACTTAGTATGTGTTTAAAAGTTGCTAAGAATTGTGAAGTATTTCCTTTTTCTCAAGATTAGGCATGGGGAGAATGAAGGACAAAATGAATATCCCTTCCTTTAGAGCCTTTAGGGCCAACCTGGAAAAATTACAATACCTGTGGAACTGCCTACCACCCTCTCAAATCATGATTTTGGGAGAAGATGGAAAAATCATTTCTTTAGGCTTTATACTGTTCTTCCAGCACATTCCTGGAGCCACACATGAAGAACACACACCAGGCAAATAGCATTGCACTTCAGAAATACGAAGACTTCAAACCATGCAAGGAAAACAGGTAACACAGCTCTGCAGAGGAATGATAACCTTGCATCATGATACAGTGACCAAATACGATCCCTATATCTGATTGCTGACCCTTTTCCTTTTCAGAATCCTATCCCCCTCTTCCTAACCATTTCTCTTTCAATTCTCATTGTTCAGAGGTTCTGAAATATCTGGAACTTCTCAGTGTTGTTGCCAAAGCCACCTGAATCACTTCGCCTCTAGGTGTAGCCAGTGTTCCTATCTGAATACCAGTGGAGCATTACCACTGACGGGCCTTCATGATTTCAGGGTTAAAATCACAAGCAAAACCTATAAATAATGAGGGTGACCAGTGATCAACAAATCAAGCAAGCTCATCCTTTGTAACTCAATGTGAAAATGCCACTTCTCCTAAATCCCAAATCGTGAGCATGCCTCTGTCTCCTGCCTCCTGATCAGCTTTTATTTAACAGCTATATATGTGTGTTGCATTACTTTCTGTTGTTAACTAATGCAGAATTTTTCTATCTGCGTAAAAACAATTTTACATGAAACAAATATGGAATATACTATTCACACAAACATAGGCATATGCACACAAACATACACTGAACAAGCACACACACAGGGTGATCTCTAAAAATGTTTATAATGTTGCAGATATTTTTAACCTACTGAAAAATGTTGATCTGTGGTAAAGTTTCCCAAATTTACATACCGTTATATACAATATAAATACACTCTTCATAAGTCAAGGAAAAACACAAACTGGGAAAATACTGCTAAATAGGACTGTGCATGATTAGCAGATTGGCATCTGTTTCAATTGCTCTTTTGCAAATGGCAGTGTTCAGCAAGATCACACAAGCTCATGCTAGTAACTCAAACTGAAAACACCACTACTCCTAAATCTCATTTGTTTTTGTCTGTGGACCATTATGACAGAAATTCTAGCCAGAATGAGGGAGTATTTTTTTTAGATCAACCCTTTTTAATTAAGACTGGTTTTGAGGTTTTGATTGAACATGCCCTAATAGTTAAAAGGTCATAAATGTTATAAAAAGCAAACAAATGGAACTGACATAAAAGTTTGCAATGCTGAAAGAAATCATATGCCTTAAAATGCATTCCCACAGAGATGTCAGCTGGGGAATGATTCACACTAGTGTTCTGTGGGCAGCTTGTAGTAAGTACCTCTATGGGCCAAACATTTTCTGAGATAAAAACATAAACCCACTCAAATCTTATTCCTATTAATATACAACCTTATAAAGTGATAAAAAAATCTATAATGAAATGTTAAGTTTGGCCTTAGGTTGCAAACTAAATAAATCATCCATTAGATGGTAATGCGTGTATTCTGCTACTCAGTGCAAGTTACACTGGGGTTGTTTGTCATACACATATATCATATTTTAGTTTGTATTCTGAGAGATGCTTTTAAAATAAACATAATAAAAGCGATCATCACTGTTATGAAAATCTGCAAATCAGTATCAAAGGTGCAGTGTCACACCTGAATTCAGTCAATTGCTATCATAACACAGCCTACTGAGGAAAACTCTCCTAAGTAATAGGATAAAGTGTTTCCTATAGTGAGGAGCTTTGGGGAAAACAAACAAACAAAAAGACCCCACAACCAAATAAACAAAGAAATAGATACGGTAGCATGTCATGGGGAGCTAATAAGAAAGAAACCCACAGAGTCCAGGGTTAAAAATTAAAAAGGACAAAATAAAGTATGAGAAGGAGAATGAATGATAAGATTAGAAATCTCAGTGGAAGCTTTGGAAAGTTAGGATGTCAAGGTTTGGATAGGTTTTTGTTTATTAATTTATTAGTACTCTCATATTTTATGATCGTAATTTGTGAGAAGTAGAACAGTAAGCGCCAGCCCGCAATCCAGGAACGCTTACATCAAAGTAGCCCACATTTTAGTCACTAGAGTTCCTAATTGCAGTGAAAATAATTTTGTCAAATATGCACAGACCAGTGATATAAGCTGATCACTCAAAA